TCAGGTTTTGGGGCTGTCGCTGAGCAACGTGGAGTTTAAGCTCCCTCCAAAGATGTTCTATTGGATTGAGGTCTGAAGACTGGTTAGGCCACTCCAGAACCTTGATATGCTTCTTACGGAGCCACTCCTTGGTTATCCTGGCTGTGTGCTTTGAGTCGTTGTCATGAGCCACGACCCATCTTCAATGCTCTGACTGAGGGAAGGAGGTTGTTGCTCAAAATCTCACCATAAATGGCCCCATTCATCCTCTCCTTAATACAGTGCAGACGTCCTGTCCCCTTCGCAGAAAAGCACCCCCACAGCATGATGTTTCCACCCCCATGCTTCACAGTAGGGTTGGTGTTCTTGGGATGCATCTCATCCTTCTTTTTCCTCCAAACACGACGAGTGAAGTTTAGACCAAAAAGTTCTACTTTGGTCTCATCTGACCACATGACTTTCTCCCATGCCTCCTCTGGATCATCTAGATGGTCTTTGGCAAACTTCAGACGGGCCTGGACATGTGATGACTTGAGCAGGGGAACCTTCTGTGCAATGCATGATTTGAAACCATGACGGCGTAGTGTTCTACCGACAGTGACCTTTGAAACTGTGGTCCCAGCTCTCTTCATGTCATTGACCAGCTCCTCCCTTGTAGTTCTGGGCTGATTCCTCACCTTTCTTATCATCAGTGATACCCCACGAGGTGAGATCTTGCATGGCGCCCCAGTCCGAGGGAGATTGACAGTCGTCTTTAGCCTCTTCCATTTTCTAACAATTGCTCCAACAGTTGATCTGTTTTCACCAAGCTGCTTGGCAATTGCCCCGTAGCCCTTTCCAGCCTTGTGGAGGTCCACAGTTTTGTCTCTGGTGTCTTTTGACAGCTCTTTGGTCTTGCCCATGGTAGTAGTTGGCGTCTGACTGACTGTGGGGTGGACAGGTGTCTTTAAAGAGCTCAGACAGGTGCTACTAATTTAGATTAATGAGTGGAGTAGAGGTGGACTTTTTCAAGGCACAGTAACAGGTCTTTGAGAGCCGGAATTCTTGCTGTTTCTCAGGTGTTCAAATACTTATGTTCTGCAGTGCAAGACAAATAAATTCTTTAAAAATCATACAATGTGATTTCCTAATTTTTTTTTTTTAATTCTGTCTCTCAGAGTGGGAATGCACCTACAATGTGAATTTCAGACCCCTCCATGAGAGAACTTGCAAAATAGCAGGGTGTTCAAATACTTCTGTTCCTCACTGTATATGTTTGCCATCATTTGGTAAGTTTGTATTTTACTTTATTCAGATCTAAATTGGCAAATTCATGTTATTATCGGAGTACTGTTTCCACACATATTTACTTCAAAATCCAGATTTCTTGCAGTGACACCCATACTATATTTCTCATCATGTCTTTTATTTTCTAAGGGTACATTTGTACATAAAAACGTGAAATGAAGATAGTGTATGGAAATTGAATGCTTTAAAAATAATAAAGCACTGCTTTAATTTTTGCATAATTAATCCAGGTGTATGTTTGTTTGGGGTTGTTTTACAGCACTTCTTAATACAGCTGCTAAAAATGGGCACATTAATTTGGACAAAACAGGGGCTGCCAGAAAAACACCCAAAGCCAAAGTCACAGATCCATCAAAGTGGAAGCAAAACAAGCAGAAACAGCTGAGAATGGAGGGAAAAGCATACGTGAGCAAACGCAAAAGAGACGGCGAGATAGTGACAAAGCAGCTGAGAGCCATGGGACCCAGGTGTACCTCACATGCCTGCAGAAAGGCATCAAACCGGCTTTGCAGTGAAATCAGTGAAGAAACCAGGAACAAAGTGTTCAATGAATTCTGGCAGCACATGAACTGGGCTCAGAGGAAACTTTATGTGGTAGAGCAAGTTGACCGTGACCCAGTAGAAAGATCTCGAGCAGTGGGATCCCGGTCAAGAAGATCAGTTTCGCTCCGTTATCATTTGATGGTGGATGGCAAAAGGAAGCAAGTGTGTAAAAACATGTTCCTGTCCACTCTGGGGATTGGAGAGTGGTCTGTGCTCAGCTGGGCACAGAAAGGAGCGAGAAAGAGGAGCAAGTCAAATGAAAACAAATTAGAAAAGAGGCAGGCTGCCCCTCAGTGCCCGCAACAGAATCCTGCTGCTTCTGAAATCGTTAACACTGTGGAAGTCAGCCAGGGTGAGTAACTTTAGTATCATTTCAGCTACTCTTTAAACTTAAGCAAGCAATTAATTAGCTGACCAACACAACAATTTTGATAATGAATTAAATTGTAGTGTATCAAGCACAAATGTGATGATTTTCTGGACTTATTCTGTTTCCTTTCATTATAAATTCATTAAATTCTTTTAGCTTTATCACTACTGGTTGGACAAAGCAGACAATGAGAGATGTCTTCTCAGGCTCTTAGAAATTGTACCAGGGATGGAAAGATAAAAGTACTGCCCCATTTAGTAGCAGCCTAATGTAATAATGAAAGTGTCAGAACGTGCATCTTTGTTCTGCTAAGTTCACACATTAGCACAAGTCCAGAGTTTTTGCTGCAACACTTAAAGTTACAATATGTAACTTAAGGTATCATAGCATGAAAGTCCAAATCAATCCACTCTGCTCCACCCAGCGCTCCCTCCTCCACCTCCACTGTGCTCTACTACAATCTGCTACGCTCAGACATGCTCTGGTCAGCTCTTCAGATATTTGTCATTACGAAATTACAAGAAATGAGAATGCAACAAAACTGACCAAACAAGCAGAAATAATAAAAAATCTCTGATTGCTCAGAGAGGTCAATCCTGCTCAAAACCTTTTAGTATCTAATATCCCTGCACAGCTGCCAGTGCTGTTCACTGAGTCTGGGTCACAGCAGGCTTCGACAACACCTCTCCACATTAAGACAAGATTTGCAGCTTATTTCTATGACAGAAATATTTGGAAAAGTTATGTGCTGTATCTTTGAGTGTATCACAGCAGTGCATCAAGTATGTTAGAGTTAGATAAGTAAACCTGTTCAGTTGTTCAGTTCAGCTGATATTAGATTAGCCAATACATAACACTTGCTTGTTCACTCCTTTGAGGTAATCTAGACACAGTGTCACTGACAAGTCGATTTTTCAACAGTAAAATGTTTTTCTCAGTGTGTACAGTATCTTGGTCACAGAAAATGAGATGGGCTGTAATGTTAATGACATTTCTCTCTTTCTGCAGAATGTGTGGATGCCAATGATAAAGTCAAAAACAGGGCACCAGAACCAGAGGGGCTGGCCAGAAAGAAACCCAGAGTCGCCAAGCCTCTAACATGGAAGCAAAATCGACAGAAGCAACTTAGAATGGAGGGAAAACCATACATCAGCAAACGTAAGAAAGATGGTGTAACCATAATTAAAGGTCAGAGGACCATGGGACAGAGATGTGCATCCAGTGCTTGTAAAAGGGCCTCCAACCGCTTCTGTGCAGACTTCAGTGAAGAAACAAGGAGCGACCTGTTTGCTAGCTTCTGGCAATGCATGAACTGGGCTGAGAGAAAGATCTATGTGGCTGGACTAGTTGACTGCGACTTGGTGGAAAGAACCCGAGCACCATGGACTCAGTCAAGAAGGTCTGTCTCGATGCGGTATCATTTGATAGCCAGTGGTGAAAGAAAACAAGTTTGTAAAAGGATGTTTCTCTCCACTTTGGGGATTGGAGAGTGGTCAGTGCTTAACTGGGCCCAAAATGCATCCCAAGAGGACAACTCAGAGGAAAACACTAAGAAGACAACACAAAGGAAGTCTCGTAAAGCCTCAGAGCATATAGTCCTGAAGGAGTTCCTGGAGAGATTGCCTAAAGTGCCCTCTTACTGTTGTGGGACGTCCATCTCTAAACTGTATCTGGAGCCGGTCTTCTCAAACATGTCCGAAGTGTACAGGCACTACTACAGCCACTGCTTAGAGAAGAAGACACCACCACTCTCTCGGCAAGTTTTTTGTGCCGTCTTTAAAAGAATGGATTTGGGTTTGTGTGACCCTAAAAAGAATCAAGGTTGTTCTTTCAGTGTGAGAGGAAACCTGTTTAATGAGCTTTGGGAGGAATACTGCATGGAAAGAGAAGCTTCAGGGCCACAACCAGGGAAAGTGAGTAACCAGTAGAAACATAGTTAGTTGGTCATATACAGTACATGTTGTGAAAAGACTTTACTGAATGAAGATTATATCCTGGTAAGACCGTGGTTACATCTTCCAGGCTCACACTATTTCAAGTTCATGAAGTTTTTATGAAGATGAACAGTTGTTTCACTTATGTGGAATTATTGAAGCACTACATCCAAAAACCATGTTAAATGTAAAAAAAAAGTTGAAACATATTTATTTGTTAATTTACTGTTGTATGTAATGTGAAAGGTCAAAGTAAGTGTCTGAAAGGACTCGTGGCAATTCAAACTGCAAGACAAAGACATTGATTTTATTTATTTCCCTCTGTGCTTACCAAAGGGCTATTGGGCCCCAAATGTTCTATTTTCTTCTGTTAATTAAATAAGAAGAAATATCAGAAGCACTTTACAGATTCTTATCAGAGGCCGAGTGTTGACAGTCAAGTTTTTTGGGCAAAAGAGATGTTTGTGTGTGAGTGTGTGTTTCTACACTTGTTGGAAAAGGTCACATTCAAACCACGCTCATTTTACACACTGAAATAACAGTTCGCAGTTTGGTTTTTTTTTTTTTTCAAGTGGAGACAGTAAGAACTACACATACACACAGAGACAAACACAATCACATACAGTTATCGCCCTCCTATTTTTCTCCACACAGAGACAGGAAGTTGTCCACATATCCGCAGGGCCCCTGAAAAAAAAAAAAAGCAAGTGAACAAAGTGAGTGGGGTGGTGGTAGCAGAACGTGTTGGTGGCAGTGACGGTGATGGAATTGGGCGACTTTGCTCACAGATAACGGTTCATTAACAGCAGATAACAACAGGGCTGCCGCTACACCACAGAGCTACAGATTTACAACCGTGCTGAACGCTGTAAATAACAGCTGAGATTCTGCAGATCAGAGGCAGGTTTACCTAAAAGCTGGTCTGGACTGCTGATCCATCCGAGCAGATAGGAGAAAAGACCTTCAGCTGGTGACCTGAACGGCCTGGACATGCTAATTCTGAGGACGTTTGTTCTGCTGGGATTGAGCTGGTCATGTCGAGGTGAGTTAGCTGCTCTGTTCCCAACAGACTTGTCTTTCTGTTAATCAGACACGAAACATGCCACCTGTTCAGTGTGCGTCCAAATCACACCCAGTGGCTCTAGAAAGAAAAGTTTACTTTTATGGTTGTTTTGAAAAAGCAGTGTCCAGTTTCTGAACTACATTTATTTAATAATGATCATTTTAAGGACTTTTTAAGGTAAATTTAACTCATGTTTTTTAAAATATGTGATTTGCCCTGTCTTCAAGACCTGTATTTTTACTGAATAATATGATTTACAATTGTTTTAGATGAAATAAATAAATAAACTTCTCTCCAAAAGTATTTTGAAATAGCAAATTGGAATAGACATATTTGTTTTTTGTCACTGTTACAAAGATTTTAGTCTGTCTTTATCATTAACAAAGGTTAATGGTGAAGACAGACTGAATTCTTTTTTATTTCATTTTTGTTAACATCTTCTTTTCATTATTGACATTACTTTATTATTTATATTTCCTCTCTTGTTCCTGCACCAGGAAAACCTCCTATGCTGATCAAGTGAACCAAAAGTGTACAACACTTAATATGTCAAATCTCAGCCCTTTTGTCCATGTGGGGGTTTTTTCTCTGCTGTAATTTTATGGTCATGCACACACCTGCCAAGCCCATTGTCCAACTCCATCACATTCCTCATTGCCACAGCAACGACCTTCGACCTTCAGCGAGTCCCAGCCCACTCCATTTCCTGTTGCTATTCACTTCTCCTGGAAACATCCTGTTTATGTCGGCCCCATTTCCTGTTCCTTTTAGTGGTCTATATAGGGACCCACCTTTCATGGCTTGACCTGCATTGTTATGAATAGTTGCTAATCCTCTGAAACAATGAGAGGCTTGAATATGTGGGTGAGCTGGTCCTGAGATAAAACACTGAAAACTGCTTGACTGGTCTACGACTGTTTAGAAGGGCCACAGTTTGTGTGAACTGTTGTGCACAAATGGCACCTTTTATGCACCAGTTTGTGTTTGTGCCCATAGCTGTACCTGATGATCCCTGGAGCGAGTGTCAAGTCAGCAGAGTGTGTAAGAACAAATTCGGAGATGGGTCATGTGACAGAGAGTGTTTGGATCTCAAGTGTCTTAGAGACGGCTTCGACTGCGTAAAGGACAGGGGCCACTGCAAGTAAAACACCTTTGTTGTCATCTCCACAGGATGTCAAGACTAGAAAAATAGCAAAAAATCTTATTAGTGAATGTTGTGAACATATTGGGTTTTTATTGACTTATTTGTACCAATTATGGTTATTCTTTTTAATTGTTGTGTGGTGGTTTATGCACAATTTTTCATTGTCCTCTTATTTGTATCAATGCTTGTATTTGAATCTTTTTTCATATAGATCACTTTAAATTTAAGCATGTTTTATATGTGAGAGACAATGAGTAAAGTTCAGTATTATTAGTACACTGATGCAGAGGACAATTTAAATACTAAAAGGTTTTCTCTGGTACAGGAAACAATAATATCTTTTAAAAAATGCAATAAGCAATTTAAACAATTAAAACGATAAACAATGTAAAAGATACTATTAAAACATGAGTTTTTGTGGTTGATTGCTGGCTGTACATAAAATGAGCAGCATAGAGCTGTCCATACAGTCACCTAATGGCAGTAACAATAATAATGATGCTGAAATCTGATGCACCACATCGCTTATTCTTAGCAGTTTGACAGTAAATTTCTACATCACTCATTCTTTGTTGAATGCTCTAGGGGACAGAAAGTTAACAAGTAAACCTTCAGTCAAGATTATTTTGTAAAATAATACTCTTTCTTTTATATCCTTTCAACTCACCCCATCATGGCTCTCAGTCCGGGCCACATCCAGTACTGCCGTGATCACTATGCCAACTCCCACTGTGAGCATGGATGTGACAGCGCCCCCTGTGGATGGGACGGCAGTGACTGCTTCACACACCAGAGCCATAAGTGGTCTGCAGGCTTTCTGGTCCTTCATGCCAAAATCCCACAACAACGTGGCACCTTCTCCAACAGCTCCTTGCTCTGGGCGCTCAGTGTCCTCCTCCGGTCACCACTCAAACTGAGAGGCTCTGCCCCCCTTGCCACCAACAGGAACTTGTTTGACTTTGATGATCAGCAGCTCATCGACCTTCAGGCTCAGGCAGTGCCAGGGGAGGCAAATGGGTGGGTACTGAGAAAATGTTACTAGCATTATGATTAGGTGTGTCAAATACAGTGTCTTTGGCTCTACTTTATTTAACCTATATTTAAACTGGGTAAAGCACATTTTGCCAGGGTCAAGGTCAAAGTGTTTATTTGTCATATGCACAGTTAGGAAACGTGTTTCCCTGTACAATGAAATTCTTACTTTGTCGTCCACATGAATGCCACAAAATACAAATGAAATATAAAGTAGATAAATAAGTAACACAAAATCTAAGGCACTTTAAGCAGCAAATGCAGCAATCTAATAAAAATATATAAGAATATAACAGATAATGTATGCTGCATGGGAGCAGCATGTGCAGCAGTCAACAGTCAATGTGCAATTATGCATGTGCAAACTGAGAATGTAAACAGTACAGGTCGACAGTACATGACGTATTTCCTGGTAATATACTCTTCAACTGTTTAGGAGTCTGATGGCAGAGGGAAAGAAAGAGTTTTTCAGTCTAGTGGTCCTGCATTTCACACTTCTGAACCTCCGGCCAGAGGGTAGGGAGGTGAACAGTCCATGCTGGGGGAAGCCTGACTATGATTGCAGCATCAAAAGTTTCAGATAAAACAAAATTAGGTAACAGATAATACTAAATACAGATAAAAATACTAAAACTGGCTACAAATAGGCTAAGAATGGAGACAAATAACAATGTACTCAATTACTGTAGAATTTATTATGGTTCAAATTCTGCCAGACATATCAGATTCATCCTTAAATTCCTCTTGTAGATTATTCCTGTGGCTGTATACAAAAAATGTATCATCTGGAAAAGCTGTATTTCAGATCCATATGAATTTACACCTACATTAAATCATTCATGCAAAGGCAAAATTAGACTTGGCCACACACACAGAACTTTGAGGAACTCCACTGAGCACAGTAAACCAGCCTGAACCGAGTCCAGGGATACTGATACAAATATTGATGTGCAACTATTTTTGAAATAAGTATTCTCAGAATCATGTTTCCTTTAACTTTTTAGTTTGTTTGATAAAATAGTTAATATCAAAATAGGTTATTACTTTTTAAAATTTCAGATTTCAATCAAAAATTTATTCAGGTGAACATACTTCTTGAAACTGGACTCAAAAATTCAGTTCAATTCTATTTCTAGTTCAATTTTATTTCTGTAGTACCAAATCACAACAAAGGTCATCTCAGGACACTTGACATAGTATGGTCTAGACATTATTATTATTATTGAGAAAAACCCAACAAATCTCCCTTCTCTCTCTCATTCCTAGCTCCCTCCTTTTCCTCCAAGTGGACAACAGGCCATGCTCCCGTCTGCCCTCTACCTGTTTTCTCCATGCCATCGATGCTGCCAGTTTCCTACGTGCTGTAATGTTGCTGAAGCCCACCTCGTTCCCCACCCTTCCGGAGCTGAGGGCCATCATCAGTATTAGAGGCATCCAAAAGGAACCAGAAAGCACAGAGGAGGAAACGAGAAAAGAGGAAGTTGAAGGTAGGCTGACATGTCCTGTCTCCGACACACGTACATCCAGCTTTGAATTTCATCCAAACAAAACACTATAAACACCTTTTTGTTTCCAGTGTGTAGATGTGTTGGTAACTGCTGCAGGTTTTGTTCACACATTTCAGCTCTTACATACCGCACAGGATAGAAAGGCACATGCAAATCAAACATGGATATCTGGTCGAAACAAACTGTTTTTAAAAGTGCATTTCTTCTGACCAAACAAAAATTGGACTAAAATGAGCATAAATATTGGAATTACACTGAAATATGACTCCAAGTGAATGTTAATGTTGCACATTGCCTACTCGGTGTATAGATGAGCAGCAGGCTACTAGCATGTTTGCCACCACATGTTTATAACGTGATCTTACTGTATATCTATATTGTGTATACAGCTTGCATCACTGCTCCTGTGTGGCCAAACAAATCTGTTATTGAGTAATTTTTCACCTGTAAAGTCAAGTTATGTTCTCAGTTTTAACTGAAAGAAGTGAAAGAAGTTGAAGTTGTAGTGGTAAAAGCAAACTTAATACAGTTAATAGTTATTAGCATAGTTGATAGGCCAATGTTAGTTAAGTTAAATATGAAGTATGGTCAGAGATGAACTCTCTGCTCTTTGCAAGAACATTGGGCATCAGGCTTCATGTTTTTCAGTACAGGTTGTAGGGGGTTCCCAAAATAGAGAAGTGAAACCAGGGTGGGGGCCCAATGGACGTCAAGACAACAATTACAGGAAGCTGGGAAATAGCCATATAGCTAGTTGCAGAGCTGACCAGGGAGAGAGTGTGAGTGTATGAGAAGACCTGAGAAGACTGACCTGACAAAACTCCAACCTCTGCAGAGGCCCAAAAATCAAGGTGGTCCTGTGTCTCGCCCTCTGAAACTTTCTATTACAATATATTGTACAATAAATGATGATTGGCACTGCAGTGATTCTCCCTGTGAATTAATTCTATACA